AATCAGGGGTTAAATGATTTGCCCAGGGTCACACAATTAGTAAGTATCAAGTGTCTGAGGTCATATTTGAATTAAGGTCCTCCTGACTCCAAGGCCAGAGCTGTATCCACATCACTTCTTATAGCACCTTAACATTACATTACATTCATGTACTAGAATTTGTGTAGCCATTCCCCAATTGACAAGTGTCTACTCTAGTTTCCAATTAGCTATCGCAAAAAGTGCTGCTCTAAATAATTTGGTATATATGGGGACTTTCTTCGGGTATAAGCCCACTAATGGATTCTCTGATTTAAAGGGTATGGACATTTTAGTCAGTTTATTTGCATGATTGAGAATTTCTTTCCAAAATGGTTGTAACGTTTCATAGCTCTACTAACAATGTATCAATGTGCCTATCATTCCACAACCCCTCCAATATTGACTACTGCCATTTTTAAATCATTTTTGCCAGTTTGCAGTTTGCAGGTATGTGGTGAAATCTCAGCGTTGTCCTGATCTTCATTTATTTTCTTATTACTCATCTGGAGAATTCTTTCATATGGCTGTGAATACTTTGTAATTCTTCTTTGAAGAACTGTTTGTTCATATCCTTTATCCACTTATGTATTAGGGAATGACTGTTGGTCATATGTGTGTTGCTTATATATCTTAGAAACCTAACCTTTATCAGAGAAATCTGTTATGAAGATGTTTTCCCATTTGATTGCTTCCTTTCTTATCCTAGGTGGGTTAATTTTGTCTGTGCAGATGTTTTTCAGTTTCATGTAATGAAATGGAGGAGTTTATGACTCTGTCCTCCAATCTGAGGGTAACTGAAGAGATGTCAAGCAACAAGGCTTACTGGACCTTTCAAAATGATATTTCCCAATGGTGAGTTCACTAAGGGTGTGGTGGAGCTGCCAAGGAAGTCCAAAATGAATGCAGCCAGGTGGGAAATGAGGGTATTTAATCCCAGAGACAATAGTTAATCACTGAAGCCTCTTGAGCAGGGAAGTGAAATGGTCAGACTTGTGTTTTAGCTGTGTGGAAGATAGAGTGGAGAGTGGACAGACCTGAAGCAAGTAGACCAATTAGTTGATCACAATAATAGAATAGAAAGGTAATAAAGCTCACAGGTAGAATTAATGTCTTGGCAATTGATTGGATGGAGGCAGAGATGGTAGGGGAGTCAAGGATGACTGATTTGGTAAACCTAGATGACTAGAAGGATGATGGCATCCTCTATAGAAATAAGTTAGGAAGAAAGGGAGGATTTGGAAGATAAAATAATTGAACTTTCCCCTCTGTCCTCTCCCATACTCATGCAGGCTCTCAACTTCTTCCTTTTTTCTTTTTTTGCGTTAGGCAGTGGGGTTAAGTGACTTGCCCAGGGTCACACAGCTACTAAGTATTATGTGTCTGAGGCCACATTTGAACTCAGGTCCTCCTGAATCCAGGGCCGGTGCTCTATCCACTGCGCCACCTAGCTGCCCCAACTTCTTCCTTTCTGTTCCAGCATGAAGTGACCAGGTCATTTAAAACAATAGGTGAGCAGGTGTTGTTGGTAAAATTCCCTTCCTTCCCAAAGTCTACCATACTTTGCCCCTCAGATCCCTTTATGGCTAAAGCTTCCCCTTAGCTGGCTCTTTGCTCCAGGGTAGTGGCTAGTGAGTAAAAGTTCATGGGCCCCTTTCCATTTTGGGTGGGACAGAGGGAGTCTCACAGGATCAACTGGCCATGGTTACAATCAGTACCTTCTTCACTCAGAAGGGAGGCATGGGGGTGTGGTGGGGTGTTGGAAAGACCTCCTGTAGAAGGGGTGAGCTGAGCCAGAAAATAAAGGTGAGGAAGAGTCTATTTCAGGCATTTTACTAAGCAAAAGCCAAACTCCTGTCTGATACAGAAGGCCTGCCACAATCTGGGGCAACTCTCTTTTTAGCCTTGTCTCATATTGCCCCATTCCATTTGTGTAACCTCTAAGCTGGCTGGATTTTCTCCCATGCTTTAAAAGTCAAACTTAAATGAGACCTTCTTCTACCTTCCCCTTCAACTTTATGTATTTTTTGTGTGTGTGACTAATGTACTCGTGTAATATTTTATAGCTATGTGTCTCATAATTGTAAGTTCACTGAGAGCAAGGTCACATCTTACTTAAACTCTGGTTCCCCCAGCACTTAGCACAGTATTTTGCACACAGCAGTGCTAAATAAATTTGTTGTTTTCCCCCTTTCCTTCTTACTAATTTCTTTAGCTATGACCCACACAGCCTTTATCCTTCCCAGTTTCAACTTCCTTTCTAGCCTATTTTATACTGGACTCAAAATCTGGCTGCAAGTGGACTTTGTCTTGTACTGTATTCTTGTATCCTCCATCATTGTTTCATCCACTCACTTCTTTCCATTTTCTTCTTCATTTTACCATCTTAGAGTTTCCCATTTAATTTAGTCAATTATGCAACAATTGCATTGTGGGGGTGAATTTTATCTGTATGTAGATTAAGAACCCCCTCAATAAAATCAGAGATGTACCAAAGCCAGTGCTTTATTATTTCTAGTATTAAGGAATACAATGCCTAAGTTTCAATTTATAAAGAAGCATTCCTTGGTGCTAATAATCTTTCTTTAGTACTCTTTTTATGTCACATTTATTTGCTATGTATTTTAAAGTTGGTAAACTTAACAAATCATTCCAGATTTTTCTTCCAAAATCTCTTTTTTCTAATATTTGCAAATATAAGCCTGCTACTCTTGTACAATATTCCTAATTTGGTCATGCTGAAAGCATAATGTTTTAGTTTTTCCATTTTGATAGAGTGCCTTGATCCTCCACACTCATGGAAAAATTTCATGTAGTCATTAGAGCAGACAAAGCACTAGATAGGAAACCCTACAGGATGATAATGAGATTAAACTTCAAACTATGAAGCAGTTGATCAATAAGCCAGCATTTATTAAGTGTCTACTATGTGCCAGGACATGATGATAATTAGATAATAAGGTAGATCTGGTCAAAGCAAATATATTTAATTAAGCTCTATTAGGCAAACATTTAGGGAATGGATTTAACTGACCTTGATAAATGGTCATGTACAATGAATAAAATGCCTGTTAGATTTCCATAAAATATATTTAAAATTACTTCTAATGCTTCAGCTGTATTGTGGGAATTCTCTTACTCGAGTTACAAAGAGATAACTGCAGTTTATTCATTCAGAGCATTAAACACTCCACCAGTAGAAGACATATCTATCACAATTTGACTAATGGAGTTTAGACCAGTCTACCATTCACTAATCAGGTAAAGAGGAGGCATGCTTATTACAGAATAGGTCAATCAGAGCAGATAGATGATTTAAGACACTGGAAAGGTACTTCTTATTGTTCATCCTTCATTTCGTTTTGCTTTTTCTTTGGTGAGGCAATTGGGGTTAAGTTACTTGCCCAGGGTCACACAGCTAGTAAGTGTCAAGTGTCTGAGGTCACATTTGAACTCAGGTCCTCTTGACTCCAAGGCCGGAGCTCTATCCATTTCCCTACCTCGCTGCCCCCATCCTTCATTTCGAAGAGGACCAATGACATCCTGGGGTGACATCTTGACTTGCTTGTGAATTGTATTTAAGTGAGGCAGATTCACAAAGTCCTCAACCTCACTCTCTCTTCTAGAATCACTTAAGTCTAGTGGCAAGACAAAAATCAGGACCACTGGAAATGGTCTGGATCACTGGAAATGGTCTGGATGCAGTGGTTGACCTTGGTCTGACCAAGGGCTCCATGCTGGGCCATCTACAGTTGTGTTGATCTATATCTGGCCACTAGATCTGATGAGGATTGGAGCTAGACCCCAAAAAGGAAAAACCCTGTACTTTCCCACATGGCCAGATCTCTGGCATTCCCCTGAGGCTATAATCCCACCAACTGGCCTTTCTTTGTGGCTATACCCAGTCTCCCAATTCTGTTACCCTTAACCTAGCCTAGCCCTCCCTATGGCCCCTGGCCATTTCCCTCACTTAATCCTACCTAGGCTACATTCTCCTGTGGCCACGTGGTCCAGGTCCCAGGAGTTCGGTTCACTGCAGCTTACTGGCCACTCCCATTCATATCTTCCTTAGACCCCTCCTCCAGTCACCCCAAACTACTTGGCCACTCCTAGATTTCTCCCACAGTCTTTCTGTATGTAAGGTCCATCTTGTCTCCATTAAGGTGCTTAGATTCTTATAATCTAGCCACTGCTCAGATTCTTAAAATCTAGCCAATAGCTCACTAATGTTCAGACTCCTTAGGAGTCTGCCCAATTTGAGGGATGTTCTAACAAACCATATCTTGGGCTGAAAAAAGGCTTGGGTGGAATTCTTTCAGGCAGGACCCATATATCCTGATCTTGAGGTCCCAGAACCCCTAAAACTTTAGACCTCAACAGTAGTACCTTTTCTTTCTCAATGCGGGAAACACATTAACAGCATACAGAATCCTTTAACAGTAATATAGTCAGGATTTCTAGAGACTATGCCTCCTGTTAACATCGCTAAAAATACCGTTACTGAGCAGGTTTAAAATTATATTCTATTTTTGATGCCACAAACAGCCAGCAGGCCAGCAACAGACCTGTATTCCAACGCCAGCTATGCCACCGAGCAGCAGTGTAACTCCCCCCCGGGCCTCAGTTTCCTCATCTGTAAAATGAGTTAGATGATCTCTAAAGTTCCTGTCAGCGCTAACGGCCCCTAGAGCGCGCGCACAAGCCCACTCTTACACGCGCCGTTACCTGTATGGTCCGATTGCACCTGGTGCTTTCGCTGTGCTGATCACTTTCTTAATCAGGGACGACATGTCTAAATTTTATCTTCTGTAGCTCCTTCAAGGTGAAGTAAGCATGGAAAGTAAAAACGGCTAACTTCAGGCTCTCCTACTTGGCCAGACAAGGCCACATGCAAAGTCCCTTTCGGGCAGAAAGAACACGCCCCGCAGCGGAGCCTCTCGGCATTCTGGGAGTTGTAGTAGTCTCCCCAGGAGAGCCGAGCCACACGAGGAAGCCCATGCGCCGGCGCATGCGCTCTCCATCTTACCTGTCGTGCACGCTTCTGGGGAGCCGTCGGTTGGAGTGAGCCGAACCTGCTGCGCTTGGGCCGGAGGGGCTGTGGCTGTGCCGGGGAGCCCTGGCTCTAGGTAAGTGTTGGGTCCCACAGGCAGAGAGGGCGAGCGAGGAGGAAAAGCGGGCGGGGGCGGCATCCTCAGCTTCTGGCGTGGACTAGAGTCTGGGGCCCCGCAGCCCGGCACATCCCCCCGCACCCGGTCTGCTTTCCGCTCCCCTCGCCCCAAACCCGCTGCGGCTCCAGAGCCGGGGGCGGCGGGAGGCGGAGGCCCTGGAGCGGCGTTTCAGGCCCACCTCGGTGTGACTACCCGGGTGAGGCAAGCAAAGGGGAGGGAGGGAACATTATAGGCACCTACTGTGTGACCCGCGTGCATTTCTGCAGTCGTATCTTATGATCTCCTCCAAGTGACCCTGGAAGCGTCCCATAAGCCCTGTGGGCCTCAGCGCCTTCGTCCGTAGAATGAGAAGGGAGGACTGGATGATCTCCTAGGTCCCTTCCTGCCCTAAATCGGAGATCTGAACCAGCGGCCTGTGGATCCGCCCCCCCTCAGACTGCAGGGCTCCTAGCCTGCCTCAGTTTCCTCAGCCTGTCCCACTTCAATAACAATGATAATACCTATCTACATAGCCCTGACTATGGGTCAAGCCCTTTGCTAAGCACTTCACAGATACCTCATTTGATCCTCACAGCAACCCCGGGTCACACAGCTAGTGCTCGTCTGAGGTCAGATTTGAACTCATCCAAGACTATTGACTTCATCACCTAGCAGCTCACTTCAGAACTGGCTTAATCTCCTCAACCTCAAATTGCATCATCATCACCATCATTATCACTTACTTCCCTAACCTCTCTTAATTCTATTATCTTCCCTCTCCTAATTATTTTCTCTTTATTCTATATACAGCTTATTTGTACATATGTTTGTCTTCTCCACTAGCTCCTTGATGTTAGGGACTGTCTATTCCTCCTTTTTGTGTCCTCAGCGCTTAGAAGTGGCATGTAGTAGGTATGTAGTAAATATTTGTTGATTGTTTCTACTTCAAGCCGACTGGACTAGTTTTTGGCTTCTCAAACCCCATCCTCATCCTTCCCAGCAATTTCCAGTAATTTATACCTAGCCTGCTACATCTGTCATAATAGCTAGCATTTATACAATATTTTAAGGTTTGCATAACACTTGACAAGTATTATCTCATTTGATTCCTCACAACAACCCTGGAACTTAGGTTCTATTATTATTCCCATTTTACAGAGGAGATAACTGAGACAGACATGCTAAGTGAGGTGTCTAGGGTCATACAGCTAGTAAGTATCTAAAGCCAAATTTGAACATAGGTTTTTCCATCTCTAGTACCAGCTTTCTATGTACTTTGCCACCTACCTGTTATAGAGCGTGTGTGACTTCATAAAACTCTGGTAATATAAGAGCCATTCCTCATTCAAAAAATGGGCAAGGAATATGAACAGGTTTTTAAAAATTGAGTTTTATTTTCAATTCTTTCCCTTGTCCATCTCTCTCCCCCTCATTGAGAAGTCAAGAAATACAAAACCTGTTACATATATGAAGATATGAAAACCAATTTCCTCATTAGTTATATTCCAAAAACAAACCAAAAAAAGCTTCAGTCTGTACTCAGGTTGCCAGTTTTCTCTCTGGGGGTAGACAGCCTTTTTATCATGAGTCTTTTGGAAAAGTGGTAGGTCATTGTGTTGGACACAGCTGCTAAGTCTTTATTGTTGATTATCTTTACAGTATTGGTGTTGCTTTGTAAATTGTTCTGATTCTGTCGTCTTTGGCTTTGTTCATACAAGTCTTCCCAGGTTTTTCTAAAACTGTCCTTTTCGTCATTTCTTACAGCACAATCATAAACCACAACTTGTTTAGCCATTCCCCCATTGAGCATGCCCTCAATTTCCAACTCTTTGCCATCACAAAAAGCTGCTATCCTTGTACATATATGTCTTTTTTCTCTTTCTTTGAACTCCTTGGAATACAGACCTAGTAGTGGTATTGCTGGTTCAAAGGGTAAACATAATTTAATACTGAGTTAAAGATGAGAGCCAAGAAAAATTTATTTTATTCAGATAAATTTTAAAAAGCAGGGGTAGCAGTCATCTTAGAGAAAAATTACAGTAAAAATTAATATGGTTAAAACAGATAAACAGGGAAAGTATATCATACTTAATGGCTCCATAGATAATGAAATCGTAGCATTATACATATGTGCTGAATGCCATAGCATCTGAATATTTGAAGGAAAAGTTAATTAAACGATAGGAATAGATAGTGAAACTAACAGGGAACCTCAGTACCTTTTTTATATCTAAACAGATCTAACAAAAAGATAAATAAGAAATCAAGGATCTGATTAGAATTTTAGAAAAGTTAAATATGATGGCTCTCTGGTGGTCACTAATCCTGCTGTGCCTGGCATCTTTACAAAAATTGACTGTGAGCTAGGACATCCTTTACCGACTTCCAACATAATGAAAATTACAGTGATGTCCAGTTAAAGAAAGTATTCAAACTTAAGTGTAGACCAGTCCTAAAGAATTGGTTGGTCAAAGAACAAATATAACAATGAGATAATTTCATAAAAAAAAAAAAAGACCGTAAGACAGCGTAACAAAACTTGAGGAGTACACTCTAAGTAATCCTTAGGGGAAATTTTTTTACATTAAATATTTATGAACAAAAAAAGAACAGAAAAATGAATATTATTCATACAACTAGAAGAAGTTAGAAAAACAACCAGTAATAAAACCCAAGTACTTACAAAAATGGAAATTTTACAAATCAAAAAAGAAAAACAAAATTGAAAGCAAAAAAAACCCCATTAAGCAGGAAGGGGCTTAAAAAGAAAACTAATCAAATAGGTAAGTTTAGCTAATCTGATTTTTTTTTAAAGGAGTAGAAGACCAAATCATGAATATGGAAAAAAATGAAAAATTAGTCACAAATGAAGAAGTAAAAGACAATATTAGAAAGCATTTTGCCTAATTAGAAATATTAACTGCTTGTGATTAGATTGTCAATATAATAATAATGGATGTTTATAAACAAAACTAATGAATGGGTGAATGTTTATGGAAATAAAAAATACCTAAATTAGTAAAACAAGAAATAGAGAATTTAACCCAGTTCAGAAAAATAAGTTGTACGGTCTATGAAAGCAAATGTTAATGTTTATTCAAAGAACAGATTATTCTGATATTACATAAATCATTTGCAAAAATGTGGAAAGAGATCCTATCAAATTCTTTTCATGAGATGAATATGGACTGCATATCTAAATGAGAGCTGGATCAGAGAAAGAAAATTATAGCCCAATCTTACTGATGAATCTCATTATAAAACTTTTGAGTAAAATATTAGCAGAGAGGCTACAGGGACATATTAAAAAAGACTGTACACCAGGACCAGCTTGGATTAATACCAGGAAATGCAGGTTTGGTTCAGCATTATGAAAACTATAAACATAATAGACTACATTAATAACAAAACAAGAAAATCACATGATTATATAAATAGATGCAGAAAAAGCTTTTTATAAAACAGCATTCATTTTTGTTTTAAAACTTTTATTTTTAAAGACAGGAATAAAGGGACTACTTTCTTAATATAGCAAGTTGAATCTTATCTAAAGAACAAGCATTATCTGTAAGTGGTAATTAGTAGTATGTGGGACAGAGCCCACTTACTCAAAAATAAAAACAAAGACTTAGATAACCTTTTTTTTGCTGAACTGGGTTAAATTCTCATAGTAGTCTCCAGTAAGATCACAGATGAAGCAAAGGTATCCATTCTGACCACTATTATTTGATACAGTTCTACCAAAACTAGTTAATGAGCAATAAGGCAAGAAGAAAAAAATTGAAGGAACATATATAGTCAAAGAAGAAGCAGAATTATTGCTTTTTGTAGATGATGTGTTTTAGAGAACCCTAAAGATTCAACTAAAACGTAAATAGTTAATCACTTCACACATAGAGGTAGAATATGAAACAGACCCATGAAAAGCATTAGCCTTTCTGGATATCACCAGTTAAACCCAACAGGAAGAAATAGAAAAAGAAATTCCTTTCAGAATAACTACAGAATGTCATAGTCAAACACTTGTTTCCACATTCCAGGCACCATTCTGGGTTCAGGGGATACAAAAAAGAACCTGGAATAGGGGCATGATTCAACTGATGGAAAATAAGTTAGCTGGAAAGTTCTGAGCCCCCTATAAAGGAAGGCTTTTGGAGGCATTTATTGTAGTGCCCTCCAACCTTCCAATCAGACCATGGAGAAGTTGCTGAAGATAAAAACTGAGTTAATCTCTTTGGTGAGGAGGTTTCAGGTGATAAGCTTATCCTGGGGGAGGCATGATATTTGAGAGTTGAAACCAAGCAGAGAAGCTGATTGAAAATGCAAATGTATAAAATATCTAGGAGTCCACCTACCAAGTCACATGGGAATTATCTGAAGACAGTTGTAAAACACTTTACAGAAATAACAGACTTAAAAAATTAGAAATATTAACTGCTTGTGATTGCATTGTCAATATAATAAAAACACAACATTCCTAACCAAATTAATTTACAGATTTAGTGCTATACCAATCATACTAACAAATAATTGCTTTATAGCACTTGACAAAATACTAAAATTAATCCAGAAAAACAAAAAAAATCAGTAAGCATTTATTAAACATTATGTACCTTTTCGAAGCCCTGGGGATAAAAAGAAAAAGCAAAAACTTCTCCCAGAGTTTACATTCTAATGGGGGAGACAGTATATATAAATCTGTAGATAGAAGATGAATATATAGTAAATGGAAGTTTACCCTACGGGGGATAACACTAAGCCAAGAACCTCAAGCAGGGGAAATAATGGGGAGAAAATAGTTTGTGGGGGAGTTGCAGTACCAGATCTCAGACTATGGACTACAAAGCAGTAATCATTAAAACTATTTGGTGCAGGTTAAAACATAGAAAAGTTGATCCCTGGAAGAGATGAAGTACACAAGACCCAGAAGCAGTGGAACAAGGAGAAGTAGAATGTTTGATGAATCAATTTAAGAACACTCAATGACAGGGATAATATATTCAACAAAAACTTCTAGAAAAGCTGGAAAGCAATTACCAGAAATTAGGTTTAAACTGACATCTTACACATTTACCGCAGTGATCTCCAAATGGACACAATCTAGATACGAAAAGTCATGTCTGATATTACAGTAGAAGGAAGCACTTTTCATAGCTATGGTTAGAGGAAGAGTTCTTGATTCAGTAAGAGAGAGGATAAAATGAACAATTTTGATTATATAAAATTGAAATTACATAAAATCAGCGCAGCTAGATTAGAAGAAAAGTTAACTGGGGGAAAAATCTTTGCAGCTAATTTTCTCTGATGAAGATTCTTTATGTTATTTAAGGATTTGATGTACATGTCTAAGAACAAGAGCAGTTCCACATTAGATAAATGGTCAAATCATTCAAACAGGGAATGAAATGCAAACTGTCAGCAGCCAAATGAAAAAAACTCTGAATCACTAGTAATAGGAGATTCAAATTAAAGCACTTCTGAGATTCTACCTTGTTTCCATCAGTCAGATTGGCAGTGATAAGAAAAATGTTAATGACACCTGTGGGAGGAACTGTGCTCAGCTGGTAGAGCTGTGAATTGGTATAGCCATTCTGGAAAGACATTTTTGTGTCTTTATGCTGCATAGTTACCGAACTGTATATAGTCTTTGACTCATCAAAGCACCATAACTGTATCTAGATATATACGTCAGAGAGATTGAGGGAAAGGATCTTCTGCATAAAAATAGCGGTACAGTGCTTTATGTTGTAGCAAAGAACCAGGAACAAAGAGGGTGCCCGTTGGCTGAACAAATTATAGTACATGAATGTTAGTACTGTATAAAATGATTACAACAAAAAAGATTTTCAGAGAAACCTAGAAACACTTGTATGAACTGATACAGAGTGAAGCGAGTAGAACTAGAACAATTTATACATTGACTACAGCGGTGTAAGGAAAACAGTTGAAAGACAGGAAGGAATTTGGAGGTATGAGGAGATGAAGGGGGACACGTGGGGAGTAGTGGTAATTATATCAGAAAAAGGGGAAAAGAGACGAGTTCATAAAACATTAACATATACTTCTTAAAAAAAAGTTGTACATGCATAATAGAGATTCAGTGTTATATGTGTTTTTTTGTTCTTTGTTCAGTTTTGTAATAATGAAAATTTAACAATTGAAGTGTAGTTTAATTTAGTTAATACTTCACTTTGCAGACAGTGGTGCGTAGATAATATGGAACCTTTTCCTGGAAGTTGTAGTTCTTCATATAACCTTATTGAACTAGGTGAATACAATATTGCTATTTTGCAAAATGAAGCATTAAGAATCTAAACATTTTCTCTGTCATCACTTTGGGTAAATCATTCATCTCTCATCATAATATTTATATTGTCAAATCAAGTTTTATAGGTCATTCTAAGTAAAATTATTCTAATATGTGTTGTTGATTTTTGATGTAAGGTCTCACAGCTTGATCTTATGACAACATGTGGATGCTTCTTTTATAGAAATGTCTAATGCAAGAGAGAAGAAACATGCCAAGAAAATGAGAAGCCAGCCAACCAATGTGACCTTATCTTCAGGTTTTGGAGCTGTGGATGAGAGAGGAGTAAAGCATCATAATGGAAATGAAAAGTCTTTCCAATATCAGAAACAAGGTATTGTCTATAGACTTCCATTTAGATTGAGTTGTTTATACCAGATTGTTTTGGTAGCTGTTATACACATAACAAATTGCTTAAATCGTAGGTATAATATGCATTTTTAAACTGCTGTGTTTTATTTTTTATCCAGTAGAATGTAACCTCTCTCAGGACAGAGACTGTTTAACGTTTTTCTTGTAGTCATAGTACACACTGTAGACACTTAAATACTTATTTCTTTCCTAATAAAGATGATCATAAAATTTTAATGTTATTAACTAGCAGTTGTGCACAGTAGTTAGTAGCAGCCTAGTGTTATATCTCAAGGGAATAGAAGCTTTAAGGAAAGAGGGGAGAGGGAACCAAAGGCTGGAGCTAGGTACGTGAAGAGTACGAAGATGAAGGATCTCATCCTTTTTTGCCCTCTCTTAGTCATTGACTAATCAAATAGTTCTTGATGATCTGTAGCTTTAGTCTCCATTGATTTCTTTCTTTTGGCCTACAAGCATTTTCATCTCACTTATCTTAAAATTTTTTTCCTAAACCCTGCTGTACTCTTGAGCTTTCTATTTCTATTCATCACAAAGCAGAGCTTCAAGCTAATAGCACTTCATGGGTGTGGGGCCCTGTGTAATGAAGTGGACCTCCGATCTTCCTCACGATCTGAAATGCTCCTGGTGCCCAGGACCTTGTATTTTCAGTGTTTGATACTGGTCATTCTGGAGAGGGGCAACACAAAATACAAAGTCCCGTTGCTTGATAGACCTTGTTTTGAGGGTCCAAAAAGATGTATCAGCCAAAAAAATGATATGTCAGCAGTGGGGGTCACAGGTTGGATGAAGCTCAGGACATCTCTGTGGTCATAAGATGGGCAAGGCAAGAGTCATCTCCAGTGACTAAGTGGTCATAAGATGGTCACCTGCTCATATTGGATGAGAGAGTGGTCTGGAGGTAGAAAAATAAATTGGGGAACTTTCCAAAGAGTCAAGGCATCACCAGTGCTGGCTTTGGACATGGAGTTTGAGCAAAACAGGATGGAGATATTTTTGTTAGCATTTTTGTATTTGCACAAGTGAGTTTCATAACTGATAAACAAGTGGTGAGTGTTGGATTAAAGTTTGAGGTCTATTATAAAGGCCTACTATAAGAATCCATTGTATCTAATTATCCCTATATGATTTATGTAAAATATCCAACTGATTAATCCTGATTAAAATGGAGTAGGGCTTCCAGTGCATCATTCCTCACAGCTTTATGAAGAGCATCTCTTGGTTGACAGTGATTAGGCACCTTCCTTAAAGACTCCAGTACGGAGGGACTCATCACATCTGGATGGCTTATAAATTAATTGTTAGAAGTCTGCCCTCGCAGCAAGGCCCAGTCTGCTTCTCTGCAACTTTGACCCAGTGTGTCTGAGTCTTTCACTGGGGGTTCTCTTCTGCATGGTAGCCTCCCAATGTTTGAAGGCAGCCGTATACCCCCTGTGATTACTTGTACATGCTTCCCGTGCTCTAATTGTAAATGCCCCGTTGGGCTGTGGGGGCAGGGAGCTCGTCTCATTTGTCTGTGTGTCTGTTACAGTGCCTAGCATAGTGTTTTGTACATAATAAGCACTCAGTAAATATTGTTGAGTGATTGATAGCTTTTATGCCTGAGACGTCTTAGTGCTTTTTAGTTTCATACTAGCTGATGTTACTTATTGGTTTTTTTCTGAAAATCTTAAGAGTCCCATTCTGGAGTTCCACGGCATCAGCAGCCAAAATCGACACGTGTGCCTTCGAGCCTTGTGTGAATGAGCAGCCTTCCGCGGGTGGTGCAGAGGAGAGAAGGGCAAAGGACAAGCAGGGTGGAGAGGAGGGCCCCAAGGCGCTGCTCGGGAAGTCCCTAAGTATATAACTGGTAGGTACTTTCAGGGAAGCGGACTACACGTGTCTGTCCTAGGCAGGACTACTTGGGGAATTTGTTCTGCTGCTGGAAACTTTCCTTTTGTCTTCAAGAATCAGGCAAATAAAACATTTTGTGAGTAGTTCCTGTATCACCTTTTTACTTTCTAAGAGTACAATTTTCTTCATAGCATCTACTTTTGCACAAGCCCGAGCTGCTGAAGTTAATGCCATGTTGAAGGCAGTGACACAGAAATCTTCCAATTCACTAGTGTTTCAAACTCTTCCCCGACATATGAGAAGAAGAGCCATGAGCCATAATGTGAAACGCCTTCCCAGAAGACTTCGAGAGATTGCTCAGAAAGAGGTATGATTTTAATCGTCGTTTTTATGAGGAAGATTTTCATAGATGTGAGGTTTAAAGCAGCGCTCTTAAACTGTGGGTGGTGACCCCATATGTGATCGTATAACTGAATGTGGGGGTCATGAAAAATTTGGCAACAGAAAAAGGTTTCTGAACGCGCAACAACCAAAAACTAATTCAAAATCAAATGCTCAATGAATCTGAGGTATTTCTGGCAGTGTTTGCCGTGTTGTGTTGTATTGCATGACTTCACTACAGCCTTGATTCTGAAAACAGTATTGACAGTTATGAAATCAAAATATTGATCAACTCTGAAAAATGTTGAAGATGCTCTACATCCTGCAGCATCAAGTGCTTTCACCAAGATTTAATTCTTTTTGGAAAAATAAACAAGCACATCCATCTCAGTGTGCAAATTTGCTTTCATCTTTAATATATGGTAAAATTATATGTATACCAAAGAATCTTTTTAAGATAAATTTCTTTATGATTTATTATCAGTAGGTGTTTGACTTGTATATCTATTTTGTATACCTGGGGGGGTCGTGTAAAAATTTCTCCAGTGAAAAGGGGTTGTGAGTGGAAAAAGTTTAAGAAGCCCTGGTTTAAAGTACCAGGAAGTGTGGGCCTAGAGGCTTCCTTCATTTCCCCCCAGCTGGGCTGCTTTGATTCTACTTGTCCCTCATCAGCTCTCCCCTGCTCCCAGGAAACTCATCATCAGCTTTGATACTCCTGCCTTGTCAGTACCCTTGCCTCTGCCCCTCTGGTTGTGGAGGGCTGCAGGGCAGAGCAGAACACTCCTCCCAAAGTCTTTCCATTTAAAGTGGGCCCAAAAGCCCAGCCCACTCTTCCTTTCCTTCTGACCACACCCCTTGCTCTGGGCTCCACCGTCATCATGCCATGGTACGGGATACCTTTTTCTACCCCTTCCCTTGCTTTTCAGTTACTTTTTGTGCGATGTCTTCTCATTCTGAGCTCCTTGAGGGCAGAGACTGTCTTTTTCTTATTTGTGGCCTTGGCACTTAGCATAGTCTCTGGCACATAGAAGGTGCCTAATGTTATTTTTCATGTTGAATCTTGGCTTTCTTGCCTTGCCTTTTAAGTGATACTTGGTTTTCTACTTTTCACCCCTTAGTGGACATTTATATTTGTGGCCAAATTTTGAACACATTTGGCAGGTAGATATGGTCCAAGAATGTAAGAAATGAAATACTGCATCATACAGGTGGTAACCCAGTGTAGCCTAGTTAGTTTAATGCACTGATGTAGGGCACCAAGGAAGAGTTTGTGGAGGAGTCTTTAATGGCCTTCCCTCAGAGGTTAGTGAAGCATCCGGATAGCCTTAAAATTCCTCTAATTTAATTAGGAAAGAATTGGGCATTGCAAGATTGAAAGAGAAATTCACAAATAGGTAGATGTTTTTGCTGCTCTAGTATAGTTTTATATCTGTGTGTTGAGACCTTAAGTACTATTAAAGTAGTTATGTATTATATATATATGTAACATATATATTTAGGCACCTAGTGCTGCTGCTTTACTAACCAGCTGATGGCTGGGCTAATTTTACCTCTTTTTTTTTTCCTTTTTAAATTAATTTATTTTGATTTATCAACAATCACTTCCATATGCTTTTGAGTTTAAAATTTTTCTTCCCCTTCCTCCCCACTACTTTCCCCAAGATGGGGCACAATCTGATATAGGCTATACTTATATATTGCTGTTAAACATATTTTCACATTCTTGATGTTGTAAGTAAGAATTAGAACCAATAGGAGGGACCACCAGCAGAAACACAACTCAACAGAAGAGGAAAAAAGTAGCAAAGAGTATGCTGGGATCTGCATTAAAATTCCATAGTTCTTTCTTTGGATGTGGATAGCATTTTCCATCACGAGGCCTTTGAAGATGTCTTAGATCCTTGTATTGCTGGGAAGGGTTAAGTTTATCAATATTAGTCATCACATGAAGTCAGGAGGACCTGAGTTCAAATCTGGCCTCAGACCAAACACTTGACACCTTACTAGCTGTGTGACCCTGGGCAAGTCACTTGACCCCAATTGCCTTAAAAAAAAATTAGTCATCGCACAATATGGCTGTTATTGTGTACAATGTTCTCTTGGTTCTGCTCACTTCACTCAGCATCAGACCATAGAAGTCTTTCCAGGTTTTTCTGAAGTCAGCCTGTTCATCATTTCTTATAGCTCAACAATATTCCATTACATTCATATACCACAATCTGTTCAGCCATTCCCCAGTTGTTGGGCATCCTCTCAATTTCCAATTCTTTGCCACCACAAAAAGAGCTGCTATGAATATTTTTGTACATGTGGGTCCTTTTCCCATTTGTATGATTTCTTTGGGATATAGCTCTAGAAGTGCTATTGCTGGGTCAAAGGGTATGCACATCTTTATAGCCCTTTGGGCATAGTTCCAAATTGTTCTCCAGAATGGTTGGATCATTTCACAATTCCACCAGTAATGCATTGGTGTTCCAATTTTCCCATACCTTCTCCAACATTTATTATTTTCTTGTTTTGTCATCTTGGCCAATCTGATAGGTGTGATGTGGTACCTCAGAGTTGTTTTGATTTGCTTACCTCTTTTTTTACATTAAATTAAGTATAGGACTAGAGCTAAGCCTAAATTCCACCGCCAGCTGGCCATATGACATTTGGAAAATTACTTACCTCTGTGGGTCTTAGTGTCCTCATCTATTAGATAAAGAGATTAGACTAGTCGATTTTTAAAGCCTTTTTTAACTCTAATGTTCTTTCTAGATATGGTAGAGTAGGTCCATGGGGAGAGTTGAGTTTGCTTTCAGGTTCAAAGGCTGAATGTTTTAAGCCTGTACAAGTTTGATTAGCTTTTTGCTTATAATTTTAGATTTGAGCATTTTGTCATAAAAATGGTTTCTTTTTATCACATTAGTTCTTTAGCCTGTTGTTGCCCCAGGTGTTAACCTAAATTGTGGTTTTGTGCTATAAGCAGTATGATTCAAAGGGAATAGCATTAGACTGTCAGTGAGTAGCCTAAATGCAGACAGTTATTTCCTCCTTAGGAACTAATCATTGTGATGTTTTTTGTTTTACTAGAAGTAAAGTCTTAAGAGAAAGAGAACATGATTTTTACTTGTCAAATCTTTTGTGGTATCATTCCAGAAAGTGCCACAAATTAAGAACAAGACAAAAGCTCTGACAGATATGACATAAAAAATGAAATTTTAATCTCAAACCTGGTGGTTTTTGAATTATGCAGTTTAACATTATGTGTTAGAATCAAAATCTTATACTGAGATTTAAAAACTACCTCCGAAAGAAACAAATGTTTTTGATAACGTAGGCTGAGAAAACAGAGCATCAGAAGAAGGAACACTCAAAAAATAAATGCCGCAAGGCTCGGAGATGTCACTTGAACCTGCTCTTGGAATTTAATCGGAGACAAAAAAAGAATGTGTGGTTAGAAACTCACATCTGGCATGCCAAAAGATTCCATATGGTGAAGAAATGGGGATACTGCTTGGGGGAGAGTCCCACCGTTAAGAGTTACAGAGCTTCTTACCGAGCAATGACAAAGCATTGCCTCCTTCAGGTATGATGCTGGGCTTTCGTTTCTTTTGCTTTTGTTGTTTAGTATTTTCTGAGCCTTTTTAAGGGTATTAATGGTATGGCAAAACCTCACTGGGCAGCTAGGTGGAGCAGCGGGTAGAGTGCTGGGCCTGGGGTTAGGAAGACTCATCTTCCTGAGCTCAAATATAGCTTCAGACACTTACTAGCTCTGTGACCCTGGGCAAGTCATTTAACCGTGTTTGCCTTAGTTTCCTCATCTCTAAAATGAACTGAAGAAGGAAATAGCAAACCATTCCAGTATCTTTGTCAAGAAAACCCTAAATGGGGTCATGAAGAGTCATATGTAACTGAACAACAACAACAGAAACCCAATTAGTTTGGACCCTGCAAATTTGGAACTAGTTACAATCATTCTTATATTTTAACGTGATTTATTTTTTTAAAGCAAATTAATGGTAAATATGAGATTGCAGGGAGTGTGTGTGTGTGGGGGGGGAGGTGTTTAACCAATCATTTGGTTGACTTTTAACCAACTTGAGAACTTTTAAAGTCCTTTGTATCAATAAATATTGTATGTTTTCAAGGTTTTAAAGAACAAGGAGTATGGGGTAAAAATAAATCATTGCCAAAAAAAGTCTTCCCAAATTCCCAAATTTTGAATAAATGATTTTGAGTGTCTGCATTAACCACCCAAGATGGGTATCTACCGAGGAGTTGCCTACTTGTTTTTATTTATGTTGAGTATATTCTGGGAGGTTGGGGGGAGGAATCTGCTTTGAAGCAGAAGCCTTCTAATACTCTACTTAGAGAAATTTAGTTTAATTGCTTTCCTTCATATCTATTACAACATCTGATCCTTAAAATAACTATGTGAAGTAGGGAGTATTGTAATATTTTTCAAAGGTTTGTAACACAATATAAATCACCTTTTAAATAGTAAATTGGAATTTACAAATGTGAATCATTTCCTCGCATTCATTGTACAAAAACATTTACTGATGCTAAGTTGAAACCTTTTTAGAGTGGTAATTAACTTACAAAGATAATGAAAGCAATTCATCATCTTGGAATTTTGGCGGTTTAAGACAATCATATGCTTTTAATTTTCATTGAGTCCTACTTCATCAAAACATCTCAAACCTATTTTTTAAACTCAACTCTTTCTCACTTTTGTGCACAGGATTTATCATACTACTGTTGTCTCGAGTTAAATGGCAAAGAGGAAGAAATACTAAAGGCACTGGCTCGTATGTGTAGCATAGATACAGGTAATAATTGTTTTATAGCTACACAGCTTACGTAGGATAGAGCTACTTCACTTTGTTTTGAAGAGTTAATAGCAAAAAGTTAGTCCTTTCTCTAGCAGAATTTTAATGAACAGCAGCCACTTACAAAGATCTTTTTGAAAAATTTTACATCACTCTAGAGACAGTAGTAGTAGTTAGAGGTAGTGGTAGTGGTAGTAGTGCTCGTAGTACCAGTCGTAGTCATCATAGATGAAATGTTTTTAAAGCTCACGTATTTTAGGTGTGTACATAACTGTGGAGGATACAAAGATGTAAAAAAGCTTGGCTTCTGGTAAATTCTAAGAGAATTTATAGTCTAAGGAAAGCTGTGATAGCTGTCAAATGATTTCTGATGCTTTTACCAGAATGAGCTTATGCAAGGAGACTACTGAACGCTGTCTTCTCAGACTGCAATCATAAGGGTTCTGTACATCTCGTTGTTTTAGGACTCACTTTTGCAGCAGTTCACTGTCTGTCTGGAAAACGGCAAGGCTCTCTAGTCCTTTATCGGGCCGATAAATATCCTGAAGAAATGCTTGGTCCCATCACATTTATTTGGAAACCTGAGGTTGGCACTAATACCACTCCTGTAAATAGAAAATTGTGGTTATGGACACATCCAACTCTCAAACAGGTATGAATGTCCTGTATTTGAGTATATAAACAGAAACCAAGGATGTTTCATAAGATCATAAATATTGACTGAAAAATAAGAACTGATTCTTTCAGTGATAATTAAGCTTTAAAGATGGTTAAAACATGCCTAGTTTGGAGATTTGTTTTAAAAAATAAAACAAACACCGATTTAACAAAATCACTATAGTATTTGGATGCTGAATAAGTAATAAACCTATTAAATAAATAAAATGGTGGATAAACCATTTTAAGAATGTTGATGATTTTCTTCAATGAGTTTTTTCATGGTTTGGCTGTTACCTTTTCTTCCATAGTCTCATTGTGTTAATGATTTAAAGTTGCATTGTTTATTCAAGCTAATCTGTTGGCTGGTTTTTGTTTGTTCATATCGTTGATACTTTCATAAAAATGTTTGAGATAAATTGCGTAAGGGATGCGTAGTAAATGTTTATGTGAATTTTAACAGAAAGATACATAAATAACTTAAATTTGCCCAACTTTCTAATTTTAAACTAACGATGAAATGTTTTAAATTAATTCTATCCTTAGGACATATTAACTGAAATAAAACTGGTATGTCAGTGTGTGCAACCTCCAGAAGCAGCTGCCTCTATCCCTGAAGTAGTTTTGGCGGCACATGAAGAGAAAAGCCGCATTAAACAGACTGAGAATTGCAAGAAAAGAAAGAGGGATGATGGAGAAAAAAATACTAATCCAGTAAAAAAAATTGTGGGTGATGGAACTAGAAATCCGTTTCAACCATATTCTTGGACATCCTCAACTACTGGCATTATGGTCAGGTGTGTGACTGCTTTATCCCAAACTCTTAGGGCATTCTTAGCAAAGATTTCTCTATGCTTGTTTTCCAGGTAGTTTATAATAGCAATTCATAGTTAAAGCCTTATCCTCTTTTCTGTTTTTAGTGATTTGACAATGGAGATGAACAGATATCGACTAATTGGTCCACTATCTCACAGTATTCTTACTGAGGCACTGAAAACTGCTTCTGTCTGTACTGTAAGAATATATGCAATCATACTTCTTATGACTATCATAGCAAATAAACAGAATCTAACTTAAGATAGTGTGTTAGCAATTGATAAAACTTTTCATTCTACATATTATCATTTTACCTCCCTTTTCTCCCAGTGAAATAAATCTAGGAAAATAGCATAACTTAACTGTTTTGGCCTTTTTTATTGTTCATTAGTTTGGCATATCTTTCTTGATAGGTATGGTCAGTAAATCTGTTTTTGAGTCAGATCTCTTTCAATAACTCAGTGCATAAACTTGGTGAAGTCAGATAACTTCTTAATGCCTCAGTTTTCCCTGTTTTCTGACCTCAGATATGGTTAAAACAGATAAGATATGCTTTTAAACTGTTAGAAAGATGGATAAAAACAAAGCTACTAGCTTATAACTGATCCTGTTATTCCAGCTAGAGCATAAATACAACAGTACACATTGTACTGCTTTGAAACATGGGATGTATACAAAAATCAGTGATTGGTTTGATTTGAGAATGTGTCTGAATCAGATTGGCAAGGACAAGGTTACCATCACAGAGAATTTTAAGGAAGTACTGTGAGGTGACAAGGACTGAAAGGCTAGATATGTCTTACATAAAGATCAGATTGAGGTGATAATGCAGGCTCAGGCTCTTTATTCTTCGGGGGTCAACACATTACCTGAGGTACTTTTAGAATATGATGAACTTAATATATTTAATATTTACATAGCTGTAAATGTTGCAAAGCAGTACATTTTGGATATGTTATCTTTTATGATACAACAATCTTGTTAGACAGTATATGCCTTATTATCCCATAACAAATAAGCAGGTGAAGGATTTGCCCATAACTATGCAGTGAGAGCCAGAGGCAGGCTTGTAAACCCAGGTGTCTCTGAACTCTGAATCCAGTGTTCTTTCTGCTGTGCTGTGGTATTTATCAGTCAAGTAATTATGCTAAACTTTTGAGTTCTATTGTATTCTTATTGAAGTGTCTATATATTGTACTTGAAATTTATAAGAATGTTGTAGTAAACTTTTTGAGACTTAAACTTTCTTAAAACAGTAATGAGTTGTTTTAACTAATATTTCAGCTTTAAGAAGAGTATTCTGTAGAAGGTTGAGAGGTAGAGAAAAAAAGGATGGCTGCTTTTTTTAGTACCCTGTTTTTAAAAAAAATACGTGCTTTTATATATATGTAAAAAAAGAAAGTTGATTTATATCAGGTGTTGAAATAGTTTAATGAATTCAACATCTATGGTCTTAAATAAAACCTAATGCGTTTTCCTCATGTGAAATCTTGAAAAGGATATAGCAGCAGTTCCTTGTTTAATTAACCATATTTGTTATGTCTTGAAATTACAAAATTAAGTTGCATTAGTATAATTCAGCATTAATTAGTGGGTTATTTAGAGGAATGGTGTCAATTTACTGGCCAATACCAAAAAGAGAAAAATGGCAAGTTTGGTCATCATGATCACAGAAGCTTAAGATCTGATATATATTATCTTATCTGATAATAGAATTTATTATTTTTTAGGAGGTAGAAGATGCAGAGACAGTACCTCACAGTTGGTGGGTTGAGGCCTGTAAGAATCCTGATAGAGTATCTGTCCATCATCGTCAAGAAGCCATTTTTGAATTGTTGGGAGGTATATAAGAGGGGAAATGGTGGGGGGAGAGGTGAAGGTGGCTGGTTACACATACATGTTGCTTTTTTAGGCTGGTTATATGTCCTAAGGATAGAATTAATTAAAACATTTAATTGTTAATTTAAAATTAGAAAGTTGGGCAGATTTAAGTTGATTTTTATTATTTTTCTTATTTAAGAAATACAATTAGCTCTTTGAAATTGTACATATATAAGAATATATGTACTTCACATGATAGAGTTGTTGAGGTTGTGAGGTTTTTATGGTTTTTGACTTCGCTGTTTGTTGTGTTGTATAAAGAGTCTGTAAATTCCATGAGTGAGGTGTAGTTAGTAATCTCTCCAAGTGACTGGCATTGTGAAATTGTAACTAAGTTTGTGTAGTTAGGCACTAAGTAATTCAAACCTACCTGAATATCATGTTGGTATAATTATTTTGCCCATACCAGGTCTAGATGGAAAACGTTTTTATATTACACTATGAAATTTTTTTTGTTTTTGTATCATACTCTTTCATAGTATTTGTGATGCTTTACACATAAATTATTTTTGCAAAATGTCTGTGGGAAAGTGAAAGAACAGTTGTCGTTTACCTGTCAGCCCTAGAGAAAGGGAGGCCCATAGGAAAGTCTGGAAAGATCAAAGTGAACACAGAGCCGCATATTTGATTGGAATAACTTTATGTTAAGTTTATCCTTTTCATTAAAGGAATAGCATCTCCAGCAGAAATTCCAGCAGGTACCATCCTGGGTCTGACCGTTGGAGATCCTCGAGTAAATTTACCTCAGAAGAAGGCCAAGGCTTTGCCCAGTCTAGAAAAATGCCAAGGTAACATGCCCCAGTTTTCCTTAGAATGCTTGTTGGCTAAACTTACCCCCATTGTTTTGCTTGTATGCATTCTTCCTGATTTGTCTATATTTTTAATGTCAAGTAATACTTGTCCTTAAAAAAAACCCCTCACTTATAATACTGTCAGTGGTATTAGTTGTGAGGAAGGGATTTGCACCCGCCGCTGGTCTTGTGCTCAGTGGAAGCCTCTGTTTAGATGTACAGATGATCCAGGTTCGAATCCTGGCAAGGCCAACCCAGGTGCTCAGGTTTAATGTTTTCCATTTATAGTATATTGGCACGAAAGAGTTGTGAGGGGTTTGTTTTGTAAATTAGCTCAATTTTATACTAACTGAAGCCTGTCTAGAGGAATTTATCATTACTTGCCAAAGTTTGCTGTCTCATTTGTCCAGACTGTAATTTAAGCATATTTAATCTTAGATTAATGAAAATTAGTGTCTCAGTTGTTGAATAAAGGACAGGTATGTAGAATGAATTTTCAGAAGTTATTTTACTACTACTGTGTCTCCTTTCTGTCAAAACTGAACAAGAAAAGATGTGCTCTTTGGAAAAGAAGAGCTTTAGGATCAGATCTTGATTGATGAGGCAGTGAATTTAAGTTGTTTCTTTGAAGGACAATGGTGTCTGGAATGACCATTCATCTCTTACCTATTCCATAAGGATAACTATCCATTTTTTGTGATTTCTTAAAGGCTCTAATCAAATTCTGTAGCTTTGCTGATAGTTACTGTGGTCTTTTTGAGGAACTGCGTGCTCTAAGATCTAGTGCTTTTCAATTCTGTCTAGTTTCTACAAGCCTTAGCTTGTCATCCTCAACTCCTCACCTTCTTACATACAAACGCTTTCCCACATCCAATTTGTTGCCAAGGCCTGTCGATTTTGCCTTCATGACGTTTCTTTTATACTCCCCCTTCTTTCGTCTACCCTTGCACCATCCTGGTGAAGGCCCTCATCCCCTCCTTCCTGAATTGTTGCAAGAATCTGCTGGTCGGTCTCTGCCTCAGGTCTCACTCTCCTAATCAGTATACTCCAGTAATTTCCTGTCACTTTTAAGATCAAATATAAAATCCTCTGCCTCGTGTTCAAAGTCCTTCGTAACTTGGACCTCGTACCTTTCCCACCTTGCTCCTCTCCATATCCTCGGCGATCATCAGTAACTGTGGCTTCCTGGCTGTTCCTGAATCATAACGTTTTATCTCCCAACTCTGGGATTTTTCATGTCTGTCCCCCATGGCTGGAACTCTCTCCCTCCTTATCTCCGCCTCCTGCTTCCCTGGCCTCATTCGAGTCCCAACTAAAAGTCTGCCTTCTACAAGAAGCCTTGCCTGTCTGACCTTAGGGCCTTTCCTTTGTGGATTATGTCTAATTTAGCCTGTATTTAGATAGAATGTACAGAATTGTTTCCGTATTGTCTCGCCAAGGAATCTGTGGGTTCCTTGAGAACAGGGACTGTTTTTACCTATTTTTGTATGCCCAGAATTTTGTACGGTGCCTGGCTCCCAATGGGTACTTACTGAATACTTGTTGACTGACTTATCCTGCCTATATATCTGCAAAAAACAAAATAAAACAATTTTTTTTGTGATTACAAGAACCCCAAACCTATGCCAAGTGTAATTGTCACCATCTTGCTACATTGCCATGGTCTTTCAACTTGGCAAAGACCTAATTTAGGTGTTAACTTGTTACATTGAAGCAGTTTTCCCACAAATTATATGCAGCACTTGAAATTTTTTAAGGAGTAAAGATTTTATCCCAACACTTTATCTTCTAGGAAGAAGGATCAGTAAAACTCTAGCAACAGAAAGACACTGTGCTGAATCAGTATGAATCAGAATCTAGAATGTTGGTCTTTGTCTATGAGATAGCTTCCTGAAGTTTGAGCAGCTTCATGATTGTCCAGAAATTGAAATCCTTTAATACAGCTTATCACCTGACTGTTTCTGCTGGATACTTAGATCTTGATCCAGGCGAGAATTGGGCCTTGTCAGAAATGGGCTTGTCAAATAGAAGGTAACAGGAATGCTTGAAGTCATTGTGTTTCGAGATGCTTTGCAAATGTTTGCTTAATAAATTTGTTCCTTGGTCTCACATAACTATATAGTTGCACTTTGACAGCATTCATCATTTAAGGTAGTTCATTTTCCAATTGAAAAAAAATTTTTTTTTTTGGCGAGGCAGTTGGGGTTAAGTGACTTGCCTGGGGTCACATAGCTAGTAAGTGTCAAGTGTCTGGTCTGAGACTGGATGTGAACTGAGGTCCTTGTGATTCCAGGGTTGGTGCTGTATCCACTGCGCCACGTAGCTGTCCTGAAAAAAATTTTTAAACATGGTTAGGTAGGCTTGTGTTATGTTAGTACCTTTCTTTTTGCTGAGTTTTTTAATGTTAGGATTATTATTGGGTTCTTGCTGGTGTCTAGAATGCAGATTTACAAATTAGTGATGGACTTATCTTTTAAAAATTTACTTGAACTATGCTGATAGACTGTGACCTCTTTATGTGTCCCTCTTGTTCCTGTTTTTTCCCCCACATAACATGAAAGGGGGTCCTCTTCTCATCAGAATGCTAGAGAAGTCACTCAAACATTTTCTTTTTGCTTTTGCAAATACTTTTCAGAACATGAATCTGCTGACCTTTGAGGGACATCTGAGCTTATGCGCCTTGTCTTAAGTTTGGCTAAATTCTATTGCAAAAAATTTACTATTAGCAGGCAGGCTGTTTTAACTTCATTGTGTGTTGAATTAAAAGAACCCAACCTTGCTTGTCTTTTGGCCCTGAAATGAAATATTCCTTCTTTTCTTTTCTCTATTTAAATCCATTTTCTTCTCCAGAGTAATAGTTTAGTTTTTTAAAAAATCATTGTAGTTGAAAGAACTTCATTTAGTTTTCTTGTAAAATTGATCTTGGTTGCTTGATTGACTATGAGTCACAGTTTCAATTTTCCAGCTTAACTAGAAGGCTCTTGAGTGGAATCTGAAAGAGAAAAAAGGCCTAGTTGGACATATTATAGTGTGTTTGAAAGGGAGTAACGTTCTAGGCCCCTGGCAAGTATAGGCCTTTAAGTTAGTATATTTGATTCATTTAGTAATACAGCTATCATGTCTAACTAGCTTAAAGGGCTTAAGGCCTTCTTAAAAGAAGTCTTAAAAGTCTTCTTTTAAGAATGATCCATCTCCAACTGTCTTTAAAATGTTTGAAAATGATTTGAATGGCCTCATGATTCTCACAAAACAAGTAGTAACCATATCTTACTGGTAGCCTGGACCAAATGAAGTCTAATTTTTATCTTTAAATCTATAGCACCAGTACGTAGAAATTCAGGGAGAGTAAGAGGATTTTGAAATGTGTTTTGTTAGTTTCTAGAGCAGCTGTTTGAACTTCAGTGTAAGTGAGCCCTGTTACCTGAAATTGAATAGTCAATGTTTTGAGTGTTTACATTGTAGTAGAACAATTCCTGCCTTCCAGGAACTTAGACATCTAGTAAGCTTTTCAAATCAGTCTTTCTCTCATTGCCTTCCACCATGAAATATATTTCAATTTTGCTTCCAATTTATTTTTTTTCCAGCCACCAGAGCTCCAAGAAGCCTCCCATATCCATAGCTTTGACTGATTTCTGTCTGTGCCAACATTTCAGCACTACAGCTTGAAACAAACATCAACTGGATCATTTTTTCAGTTTCTCAGCCCAGTGAAGCAAAACTTAAGATATTTTCCTACTTAAAAAAAAGAATAATGCTCAAGAAGAAGTTTCTTTTTGTTTTTATAATTTTTATAGAGAGAATTGGAAGAATAACAATCTCTGATCTTTCACTATGTTTGTGTTTGTGTTGCTGAAAAAGTCCAAAATAGTCTTTCTTACCCTTCTCCAACCTCTCCCTTGAGGTACTTTTCATTTTAGCATTATAGGCCCATATGCTTCTATTGAGCTCTTTTAAAGTGTTTCACAGGGAATATGCTGAGCATAGATGTTAAATTAATGTATGTTAAACTTAGTAAAAATTGGTTTTCCCAAAACTTGAAATTGGTCATGCCTCTTCTTCCTCCCAATTCTATTGGCTAACTGCACTTTTCCTAGGAAAGATTTAAAAAGCGTAGAATGCTAGTAGTTTTTGGATCATGCCACCTTAGCAAAATAGGAACTACTCTAGAAAAATAGATTCACATAGCATTTGGTCTTTGTAAACACAGAACCAAATAACTACCTACAAATAATTTAGCGTTGAGATATTGTGTTATTTGACCTCCTCATTTTGTGATGTGGTAGAAAATTCAGAGTCATTTGCCATTTCACAGATAGTCAAGCGAGTTAATAAATGAATGACCCTAGCATTAGCTAACTGCTCTTGTTGACAAGATATTTTCTAAAATGAAGACATTTTCAGGAACACAGCACTTTAAGTATTTTGTAATTTATAAACAACTTTCAGGATATGAGCATTTGTTTGACTTCATTACATTTATCAAAAATGTGTGGTTTGAAAGATTTTTTTTCCTTCATAGATAATGAAAAAGTTAGACAACTGCGCCTAGAGGGCGTGCCTGTGGAGTGTGCGCATAGTTTTATCTGGAACCAGGATATATGTAAGAGTGTCACAGAGAATAAAATCCCAGAGAAGGTAAGGAATATGCTCAGAGGCTATTAGCAAATTAACAGGTTGAAATGTCTTGCCATGGTAATAGTAGACTCCCATTACTGTGTGTATGTGTCTGGCTCCTCGTTTTCACTTAGGGAAATACAGGGGAGCACATACAATGTGTGTGCAAAGTTCTTTGCACTCTTTGTATAGTTTTCTATAAGTGTAATTTATTTTTGTAATTTACAAATGTAATTTATATTTTACGTGTAATTTATTTTTATTATCTACCACATGGGTTTGTTGTAAAGGCAGTGGTTTGTAAATTTTAAATTTACTCTATAAATGACCTTATTTTAAAGTAATGGATTTTCTTTTTAGAAACTAAAGCATTTCTCGAAAGATTTAAATTCTAGTTTACTTAGAGATCATTTACTTAATTCTTGGAGTTACAAATTGTTAATTTTCTGGAGTAGTAACTACTTAGGTTTAAAAACTGTAAGGTAATTTTGACCCCAGCCACTATCTAGTGTGATCCATTCCCTAGAAAAGAATCCTTACTGTAACACACTCAACCTATAGCCATATAGCTTCTGCTTGAAGATCTCCTTTGGGGGAGAACCTGCCTTCCCCCCGAGACAGCCTGTCTTGCTGCTTTTCATTAGCTCTAATTATCATCTGGAAATAGCATTCAATAAACAGCAGTAGAAATAGCATGACATAGTAGATAGCCTACTTCTTTCTCTACCTACTTCTGACAGGTGTTGGCTTTGTGACCCCCTAGGCTAATGGCTTAAATCTCTCAGTGCTTCTCACCTCTTCTGATTATGAATTGCAGAAAAGTTGCCAGTTTTGCTTGCTAAGTTTCTTCACTGGTAGTTCCTTAAAGGGCGGCTAGGTGGCACTGTGGATACAGCACTGCTTCTGGAGTGAGGAAGACATAAGTTCATGTCTGGCCTCAAACACTTACTAACTGTGTGACCCTGGGCAAGTCACTTAACCCTGTTTGCTTCAGTTTCTTCATCTATAAATGAGCTGGAGAAGGAAATAGCAAACCATGTCAGCATCTTTGCCAAGAAAACCCAAAATGGGGTCATGAAGAGTCAGGCACGACTGAAATGACTGAACAAGAAGTTCCTAAAACCTATGAAGTGGTAGACTGGAAAGCAGTTTTGTCCATACCTCGACCTCTACCAAAAAAAAAAAAATAGAATTTCAGTGTAGAACCAAAATGTGGTGGTTGCTGTTTGGATAACATTACCTATATAGTTTACAGTATCTTTTATCTTGGCTATGATATTTTGAATCTAGAAAGTTCTTCAGTAATTTGGGCCTCTCACATTTTTGGCCTTTCATGTAGTTTTACAGAAGTAGTTACTTTAGCTATATCAAGTGAAGTAACAGGGTTTCCAAAGATTACTAAGATGATTAGTTTTCTTTTCCCTCTACCCCTTAATTATCTGGGGAGTTTTCTACCTAATTCGTCTGGAAAGCTTTCTATCACTCTTGTTCAGCAGTTAGGTGATATTGTGAAATAGACAAATTTCCATTCCAGAAGAAGCAACTTGAGCTTTCCCTAGACTCTGCCATACCCTCCACTCTAATATTTCTTCTCCCTTAGTCAAATTCCCCAAAAATGCTATTTGCACTCATTGCCTCCACCTTCTGTCCTCTTACTCCTCTGCAACTTGGCGGAAATTGCCCTCTCTGAAATGACTGGTGATTCTTAATCGTCAGCCATGTTGGTCCTTTCTCAGCTTCAGGCTTCTTAACGTGTCTGCTACCTTTTCTTCCTGGATAGTCTTTCCTCTCTCTCGATTCTCCTCCCTGTCTCAATCTCTTTTCATGCCTAGCCCCAAGGTTTTGTCACAGGTTCTCTACTCCCTTTACATTTTCTCTTGGCAACTTTATCAGCTCCCCTGGGTTCAACTCTTATTTCTTTGCAGATGACTCACAGATGCATGTATCTGCATCACCCATTGCCTGTTAAACATTTCAGGCAGGATGTCCCAGAGACACCTTAACTCAAAATGTCCAAAACTGAACTCTTTCTCTCATAACCATTCCATCTTCCAGGCTTCTCTCATTATTGTCAGAAGCAGAAATGGAATGAAACCCTTCCATTTTCCCAGGTTTGTAACCTCACCATTATCCTAGACCCCTCACTTTTCCTTTACCCTACAATATTAAGTCATTTACCAAAAATTGCCATTTCTGTCTTCACAACATCTCTTGATTTGATAACTTTTTTTAACTCACACAGTTATCACCTTTAGACCAGGGATGGGGAACCTCATTACCTCTCACCAAGGTTATTACAGCTTCTTAATTGGTTTCCCTGCTTCAGATCTTTCTCTATTCCAGTCTATCCTACAACTCTGCTGCCAAAGTAATTTTTCTCAAGTGTAGATAGATCTGACCGTATGACTTCTACTCAGCAAATTCTAGTAGCTTCCTATTGCTTCTAGGATCAAATAGAAACTCTCTTGTTTAAGTTTTAAAGCCCTACACAATCTGGCCCTAACCTGTCTTTCCATCTCCATTGGTGATTCCTCCCCCTCTCACCCTTTTCCAACCAGATTGGCCTTCTTTGTTCATCATGAGTGATGCTGTCTCTCATGACTCCTTGCCTTTGCCCTGTCTGTCCCTAAGCTTGGAGTAACTTCTCTTAGCCTCCTTCTTGAAGAGTCTCTCTTCAAACCTGGCTCAGGTGCCGTCTTTTGCATGAAGCTTTTCCTTTTCCCCCATATCCCCAACTGTTAGTGCCTTCCCTCCCAAACTCCTTTGTATTTAAATTTTACTTTATATATATTTTTATTTATTAATTTTGTGTTTTATGTATTTGCATATGTATTGTGTCTCCTCAGAGTAAATGCGAGCTTCTGGTAAGTAGGGTTCTTTAGTTCTTTGTACTTACATCTCCAGTGCCTGGCACATAGTAGGTACTTCATAAGTATTTGATGTTTGACTGTCCATTGGGCTATCCTGTTGATTCTTCAAAGGAATAGGAGTCCTTGCCTTAAATTCTTTTCTTTCATCTCAGGAGTTAAACCAGATGAGAAGTGAATTGATGGTGCCTGGGTCACAACTTAATTTAGGCCACCGTGAATCCAAGATACCCATACTGTTGATCCAGCAACCAGGGAAACTAACTGGTGAAGATCGATTAGGATGGGGAAGTGGCTGGGATGTTTTACTTCCCAAAGGTTGGGGAATGGCTTTCTGGATTCCCTTCGTAAGTTATTTTCTGAATCTGAAGTTTAGATATATTTGAAAATATTTGAAGATGTTGTTGTAGTAAAAGTCAAATGCTGAAACGTGGTAGGCATTTTATGCAGTCTTTTTGCTCTTGGTTCTAAGTATTTTGTGGTAATGACACTGTTTACTTATTTCATGGAGCTAGTCTTTCTTTTATAAGTTGGGATGGCCAGGGCCCTCTTCTCTGTAAATTTGGGAAATTTTCAAAATTGGTCTTTTGTAAATTAGAGATGATAAAAAATGGTGGCCTTGTCATACTTTTGAAACTTCTGACAATACAGCTTCAAAAAAATTATTGACTATGTCTTCTTCACTTGTATCCATAGCTAAAGTATGTATGAAAACTGTAACTATCTTTTTTATCTGATGTGGCTTTAAGTATCATTCTAATCATGCTTGGAGAAAATGAAAGTCATTTTGAAATTTATACCTTTAGATTGATCAGTAATTTTCAAAACGTTTCAGCTTTAGAGCAAGAGAGATTCACCTGATCGTGTAAGAGTAGGAACATTTATGAAGCAATTCTGTGTAGCATGGTGTTTGAGGTTTAGATGGGTCAAGTCACAGTTTTTTTCTGGATATTCTTATTAGATCTATCATGGTGCACGAGTTGGAGGATTAAAAGAGGCTGTCATACATTCTCGATATAAGGGAGCACCCAGTATCCCTGATGATTTCCCAGACTGCCCTGCTGGAATTTTGTTTGCCATAGAACAAGAAAATAATCTTCTGGAAAAATACAAAAGGTAGAAAATTTCTTAGCTTTAATAGTAATTCATATTTAATAAAGCAGTGATTTGCCCAACACTGAAGTGGTTGGTTGTTCACTGGGTCTATGTGGTTTGTTTTGAGATAAATGTTACCCAACAGTAAATTACTTTTTTCTTTGGCTAGGCAGTGGGGTTAAGTGACTTGCCCAAAGTCACACAGCTAGTGAGTGTCAACTGTCTGAGGCTGGATTTGAACTCAGGTCCTCCTGACTCCAGGGCTGGTGTTCTGTCCACTGTGCCACCTAGCTGCCTCTAAAAAGTAAATTTTTAAATATGTAATTGGGTGCAATAAATTTCTCATCTACTTTTCTCTGTGTATGTGAGTAGTTAGGAGCCCTTTCCCTGGGTTCCTTGGTTATGCTGATGATGTTGCATGCCTCTTGTAGTCAAGGCATGCATTTTCCATTGTATTAAGCAGAGACATTTTAAAAGTCAACATGGAAAAAGGACCAACACATAAAAGAAGAAATTCAGCTTTCAGATGAATAATTGTAAACTCAAATGGAGAATTTTGAAGTGACTTGACTATGAAGGATGTGTGTATTCAGACATCTCAGCTTTTGTGTGTGTGTGTGTGTGTGTGTGTGTGTGTGTGTGTGTGAGAGAGAGAGAGAGAGACAGACAGACAGACAGACTGTTGGGGTTAAGTGACTTGCACAGGGTCACACAGCTAGTTAAGTGTCAAGTATCTGAGGCCGGGATTTGAACTCGGGTCCTCCTGACTGGTACTCTATCCACTGTGCCACCTAGCTGCCCCTCAGCTTTTTCTTCCCTAGTAATGATATGAAATGAGCTTTGGGATATTTCCACTAGATCTGTTTGTTCTGGCCTGAGGGGGAATGTTTTTTATTTCTTTGAGAGGTTAGTGAAAAATTAAAACTGTATTTGAGGATAGAAATAGACATAAATAGTATCTATAGCCTAGTAGTAATCCCTAACCTAGCAGTCAGGCAAATGTGCCCCATAATAAAAGGTGTTTCATTATTTGGCTGCTTTTGAAGGTCATTATGGTTTTAGTCCATTGTAGGTCCAAACAGAAGTGTCTTTGCTAGTACGTGTTGCTGGTTGCTTTTAATGTGTTCAGATTTGGAATAGCTAAAGATTAGGCTTGTTTTGCTTTAGTCTAGGGGAGGTCCATCTAGTTCCAAGACCAGTTTAATCTCTATGATGCATCTAGGGGTTGTAAGTCTGGTTTCAGAACCCATCCCTTAGGCCAGGAGCCAATCATATTTTCCAGAAGCTATGGTAACCAACAATTAGGCTGGATTTTCATGGTTCAGAGATTCTAACAGTTTTAATCAGTCTTTATCTCTCTCTCTCTCTCTCTCTCTCTCTCTCTCTCTCTCTCTCTCTTCTCTCTCTCTTTTTGCGGGGGGGATGGCGAGGCAATTGGGGTTAAGTGACTTGCTCAGGGTCACACAGGTAGTAAATGTTATGTGTCTGGGGCTGGATTTGAACTCAGGTCCTCCTGACTCCAGGGCCGGTGTTCTATCCACTGAGCCACTTAGCTGCCCTTCATCAGTCTTTAGCATGTAAATTTGTGGATGTAGTTCACATGTACATGGCTGTAGCTTTCCTTCATCCCTGTCTCTCCAGAGAGAGCACCTAGATCCAAGACTCTGTCACCTTTCATCTTTCAGCAAATGCTTGCCAGTTGCAGCTGGGCATTGGCCAATTCCAGTCGATCTCCCTGCCTCACCCCCCCCCCAATCCATCTTCCTGAAGCGTAGGTCTGGTCTTGTTTTAGCCCTGCTTACTAAACCCCAGTGGCTTCCTATTGCCTTTCGTATAAACGATAAACTCCCTCGCTTGGTATGTCATTCACAGTCTATTCCCAGCTTACTTTCCAGGCTTATTTCATGCCCATTGCTTTCTCTCATGTCTGTCTTCCAGCCAGCCTGGCCTGTTGTGTTGCTCCTTGTCCCTGGCATTCCATTGCCCACCCCTGCCTCTGCCCAGGCTGTTTTCTGTGCCTGGGCTGCATTCCCTCCTCACTTCGACCTCTTAAAATTCCTAGCTTCCTTCAAAGCCCAGCTCACTCATCAGTTCACATAAGAGTTTCCTCCCTTGCTGCTCCACTCCCACCCATTATTTCATATTGACTTTGTAAGTGTTGGTTGCCCCAGTAGAATAGATACCCCTTTAGGAAAGGGGATATTTAATTTCCTGGTACAGTGCTTGGCACACAGATTAGGTATTGATTGTTACTGTGAAGATTGATATTTATTTGAGTGATTCCTGTGACATAGGGACAATCCCACCTTGTGCAAATTGGTTTCTCTTTATTTTTAATTAGACACCCTCCAGCAAAGAGGCCCAACTATGTCAAACATGGTACTTTGTCACCTTTCCGATGTCCTTGGGGACAATTAACTCGAGACTGGGAATCAAGAATTACAACTCGGGCAGAGTCTCTGCTATCTCCTTCTTGGTCACGGGCAAATATCAAGAGTGATCCTGGGAGAGAAGACCTTTGTGTTGTGGAGGGTGAGCGGGGGCCAAAGCTATCTTGTGAAGCTGAGACTTTGAAAGACAAGCCAGGAGAGCCAGAAGAGATGATGGACACCGATTCTCCAGGTGCTGCAGTGGCAGGAGACACAACAGATGAAGGCGTGTTTGGAAATGACAGTGGTGGGACAAAGAGCCCCTTCTGTGTTCTCAGGTAAGTGACTAGTCATCGTTATGTAATGTTTTATTTGCAGATGGGATTTTGATTATCCTTCCAGATTTAAAAACTTATGTAGACTAGGAATTGAGCATTCACACAAATCAATTTTAATTGTCTTAACTCATTTTATAAGCTGTGCCTTTGTCCAGAGCCTGAAGGCAAGGTGAAGTCATTTAGCAAATCCTAGTTTTTTGTTTGATAGCACTCCAGTAATGAAAATATTGATGTAAATAAACGTTAACAAAGATAATTACTGCCAAGTAATAGGTATGATTGGGATAGGGGGACATGTCTTATCCATTTTTACGCATAATAGCACTAGTCAGTGAAGAAGAGCTATGTGGTTTGTCCTTACTTTACTCTAAATCACTAGATTAAGCAAATCTTCTAATTCTCGTGACTCTGGGTTTCAGGTAGCATCCATTTAATTCCACGCTGGCACCACATTATGAAGGGTGTCTTATAAAACCATGACCTTTCCTTAGCCTTCTAGTTTCAGTAGAGGTATTTGTTACTTATGAAGTGACCTATCTGAAAACAGCACTTCTAAGCTTTCTCCTAAAGGCTCTTTTTGCCTGCTTTGTACTCAGTAGGCAAAAATGTTAAATGTTTATTATGGAGGACAATTTTCCATCAGTAGCTCCCTTTTTTCCCTACCAGTCACTCATTTCCTCTTGCAGGCATTCCACAGTTCCCAAGTTCCTTTCTCCTTAGAATATCCTTCCTCTAATCCTTATTCCTCTCTAATTACTACTGTGCCTACCACCATGTCCTGGATCTTAATCTTTTCTGTGTTGTGGGCTCCTTTGGCAATCTGGGGAGACCTTTGGACCCCTTCTATCAATGAAGGTTTTAAATGCATAAAATAAAAAATATGAGATTGCAGAGGAAAACAGCTATTTTAAAATACAGTTCTCACGATATATTTTTTAAAAAGTTGATGAACCCAATATTAAAAACCCCTGCCCCACATCCTAAATCCCTCCTTCCCTCCAGCTTCTTTTCTTTCCAAAAGTATTTGTTACTGTATTGGAAGAGATCAAGCTCAGCATCCAAGTAAAACAGTTAAGTCCTTATGTATAGATGGTATATGTTTTTGTGTGATACCGTTTAGTTACATGAAGCCCCAGAACATTGTCATACCTCTTCAACAAGATCCATATCCACTTTTTTTTTTGGGGGGGCAAGGCATTTGGGGTTAGGTGACTTGCCTAGGGTCACACAGCTAGTAGGTGTCAAGTGTCTGGTCTGAGACCAGATTTGAATTCGGGTCTTCCTGAACCCAGGGCTGGTGCTCTATCCACTGCACCACCTGGCTGCCCCTGCTTTAGTTTTTCTAAATAATTAATTTATTTTCAACATTCACTTCCATAAGATTTTGAGTTTTAAATTTTCTTCCCCTTTCTTTCCTTCCCCCTCCCAAAAACAGTGTGCAGTCTGATATAGGCTCTACATATACATTGATATTAAACCTTTTCACATTAGTCATGGTGTAAAGAAGAATTAGAGCTAATGGGAGGAACCACGAGAAAGAAGAAACAAAACAACAAAAGAAAAGGAGATCAAACAGTATGCTTCAATCTGCATTCAGACTCCATAGTTCTTTCTTTGGATGTGGATAGCATTTTCCATTGTGAGTCTTTTGGAGTTGTGTTAGATCCTTGCATTGCTAAGAAGAGCTAAGTCTATCAAAGTCAGTCATTGCACAGTGTGGCTGTTACTGTGTACAGTGTTCTCCTGGTTCTGCTCATTTCACTCAGCATCAGTTCATATAAGTCTTTACAGGTTTTTCTGACCAACTTCTTTTCTTTCTCAAAGTGGTAGGTGTCCCATTCCACATATAGTAATCCAATAATTGATAAGATAATATATGTATACTATTTTTCAGGCTTAGAGTTACTGATATTTTCCCACAGATATCATTTTTAAAATTTTGCAACTTAGGGACAGCTAAGTGGTGCAGTGGAGGGGCAGCTAGGTGGCGCAGTGGATACAGCACGGCCCTGAAGTCAGGAGGACCTGAGTTCAAATCTGGCCTCTGACCGGACACTTGACACTTACCAGCTGTGTGACCGTGGGCAAGTCACTTAACCCCAATTGCCTGAAAAAACAAAACAAAATTTAGCAACCTATATCAGCACTTGAATTTTTTGTTTATATTTTTCTTTGAATAAAACAGTCTGAAACAGATGTTTTTGACTTCATTTAGGAGTAGAAAATTATTGAAGTTGTTAGCAGCCTGGTGTCATCCTGTCGCTAGAAGAAATCGAGTAGCCATCCGAGCGTCCAGGATGCAGCAGCAGGAACTGACGAGGGCGACCTGCCTGTCTCTCTTACGTGACTATCCAAGATCCCTGGTGTGGGTCAGCCTGTCTTTGCTCAAAAAGGGAAGCCCAGAATCACACACCATGATCTGCATCCCATTGAAAGATGATATCCTGCTTCTGAATGAAGATCGGCTTTATAGTGGCCCGCAGGAGTCCAGACACAGCGACCCGTTCAAGGCCAAGGCACGGAAACAGAAAGAAAAGGAAACAGAGAAGGAGCAGAAACAAGGAGGAGAGCAGCACGGCGCCATGGTGCGTGCCGAGGGAACCCCTGGTTTGTGGCCAGGTTCTCTCCCTGACGTCACCAGCCATTGCTCCCGGACCCTCCTTGGATTTGTGACCCAAGGAGATTTCTCACTGGCTGCTGGCTGTGGAGAAGCGCTGGGCTTTGTTAGTTTGACTGGCCTGCTGGAGATGCTTCTGAGTCAGCCAGCAGACAGGAGGGGGCTAGTTTTATTAAGAACACCAGCATCTCTGCAGTATCGATTTGCTAGAATAATTATTGATATATAAATGCCATTTCATATGACAGCAAGGTACAAATGGTGCCAAAGAGAACATAGCAAGCAAAGCCACACAATTTAAGTTTTTGCTTTTTGCCTTCCACTATATATGTCATGTGAAATTGCTTGAAAAAACAAGCCAAAAGTCTATTGTAGTATGTTACATAAATGAATGAAATGCTAACTCATCATGTCATATGTTTACATTACCTGGTGGTGTTGATTTCTATCCCTGGCCTTTTCCTTTAAAATATTTAAATTCTGGCCTGTATAACTAGAGTTATTATTAGTATTGTGATTTCTTGTTCTGTACATTTTTTGCTTAGAAATTATTGAAAGCTATAGTTTTCTGTCAAAGGACCGGGATGTTCTGTTTGAAGAGCTTTTTAAAAAGTTCATATGACTAGTCTAATGTGCATTTAATTACTGTAAAAAAGAGACTTCTCAGTTTGAGTCTTTGTACATAATGTACCTTTGTGGGACACAAAGGTGTCCCTGTGTGTAATGTAACTGCTGACTTGGAGCAGGAACTTGTAACTACCTTAGCCGTGGAGAAGAAAACCATGACAAATTTATGGCTGCTGTCTTATTTCAAGGCTCAGTCTGCTTGTCTAAAAATGAATTGGATTAGAGTTGGAGCAGGAGCTCAAACCAGAGTTTGTATGGCCTTTTCCCAGGCATGACTGACCAGCATGTGTCCTCGGGAGTCACTCAATCTTCCTGTGCCTTGTGCAGCTTCACATTTTTCTCAAAGCCATAGATGTATTAGAGTTACCTACCTCAGCAGGGTGATGGCCAAATTGTAAGGTACTCTGAAATTGTAAAGATATTCTATAAGCCATGTTGTTATACGCTTTACTGCAATCTCATGATGCCCAGGAAATGTTAGGCAGCAGGTAAGAAGGGATGAATTTACTGGGAACTCCAGCATCTGTATACTAATGATGCTTCGGAAAAACATCTGCCACTTTTCACTTGGGGAGAAACAGGTCACAAAGTAACTTTCCCTCTGCTTCCAGTACCAACCTGCCCCCATCCTCCTTTCCCTCAGACTATATGCACTTGGCTGTCATCTGCTGTTGGTACAGGGGCTTGGAGCAAGATCAGGCTTGGGACTAGTTTGGAATTTGTTTTTATCTTGCGTGTCTAAATTAAATGTTAGTGTATGTTTATGCAGATTTAATTTCTGCAATAGAAATTGATAGTAAATACCTGTTGGTGATGGGAAGGAGGGGCAAGTAATAGGGAAAGGGCATACCGATCTTGAACCAATGCTCTGATTTCCATCTCCGCATGCCCTAAACAATTCCCTGAATATATTTGTATCCAACCAAAGTAATATTTTGACCCTTGCAAGAAAAAGATTTGTAACTGAACAGTGTCTGTCACAGTAAATTAAAACCCACATCATCCTGTGATGTTATATGTTAATGTACAAATTATTTAAGACACTTTGCCTATTGCCTCAGTTACTAAGTGATTAGAGCTAATGAGGTTACATTGAAAGTTCATTCCCAGGATTAGTTCCCTTAGCTTCATCTTCAGACGGCCATCTGCCATAATTGGTCATGAGTAAGTGGGGGAGAGGAGAAGGGAGTGTTGTGGAGAATACTAGAGACCAGATGCTTCAAGGCACAAAGCATGACCACTCGAGGAAAATAACTTAAAAGCACCTGCTCTGTTGGGTCAGTAGCACCGTTGTTATGTAAAAAGGATTGATTATTGTCATTAAGGAACTATAAAAGGGCAATAGTTATTAAATACCTTCCTCCTGTTAAAAAGAAAGGATAGACAGAGGAAAGGACCTATTTTCATTCATTCTGTTTATTATTGGAATCAATTATAAGCCCTATTTATGTGCCTATTTGTTTAGCACCATACTAGAAAATGGAAGTATAAGACAAATGCTTATCTTGTTGGACAAATGACTTCGATATGTTAAAGAACAAATTATGTGGTACAAACAAGAGTAATAGCATACAGCATACAGAGGCCAAAGGCTCCAAATTGGATACAACCTTTGAATTTAGGAATCAGGTCAGAAAGGGTGATCCACTGAAATAGAAACACCAGTAAGACCCAGCATGATGATAGCCTTTTTGTATTAAGACCTTTTGACCTACAGAGCACCTCCATGTACATGATCTCATTTAATCCTCACCAATCCAATTTGAGAGACAAAATGGATTTCTTCTACATAAAGCTCAGAGATCATGTGACTTGTCACAGCCAGTAATGGAAAGAAAGAGGATCAGAATCCACTGTCCTTTGTACTAAACATACTAAGTAAAAGTGGATTCACTTATCCTGCTGTAGAAGTAGCTGTGCATATAGTAGCTGTGTGTGTAAGTGGGATGGTGATGAGCTCAGATGATCTTCTAAGCAGTTATAAATGTAAGTTCTTAAGAGTTGGTGATTTGAATTCTGTTAGTATGGCCTTTCACTTCTCAATTTTTTTTTTTTGGTGAGGCAATCTGGGTTAAGTGACTTGCTCAGGGTCACATGGCTAGTAAGTGTCAAGTGTCTGAGGCTGGATTTGAACTAGGGTCCTCCTGATTCCAAGGCTGGAGTTCTATCCACTGTGCCATCCAGCTGCCCCTCTACTTCTCAGATTCTACTTTTTAAGTGATCTGCCCATGGTCACATAGCTAGTAAGTGTTATGGGTTTCAGGCTGTGTTTCAAATTATGTTGCTAGATTATAAAGAGTACATCTTGAATTGCTATGCCCAAAAATTTCATTCCCTGTGGTCGGTTTGATGATGACCAACTTAAATTTGCTGGTCCTCAGATGATAGATGTTCAGTCCATCCCTAGCTTTGTCTTCAAAGTTTTGGTGTGGGACTTCACTGGCATAGTTTTTGAGAACTTGAGGTATTGGAGGTCACTTAAGACCTCAGTGAGGCACTAGAGTTAAATTCATTGAAAGATAAATGTCACTTATGCTTTGATGGATCTGTGATCTCATTGGCATGTGGGTAGTCTGTGGTAGAATTTATAATTCATCTATGGCTTCTCCTGAGTGACCCTTTGTCCATGTCCTCCTATAATTCCTCCGTAAGGGGTCCGCTCTTGTGCTAGGGGTTTCCTCTAGATCTCTGATACTGCATGAATACCAGTGGATCATGCAAGCTGTCTCTCAGTTACTTCTGGCTTTCATTACATGGCCTCATGCATTTCTGTAATAGACAAATTTATCTCTGTTGTTACATCTTTCAAGGAATCTTGTGTGATTTTTGACATGTGTGGCAGACATCTTGTTGGAGGATGACCTTTAGGGCAACATTTTGCCCCGCCAAATTGTAATTTACCTGAGATAAACTGTAATCTTGAGAATTGTGAAATGTGAATAGTAGATGTATATGTGGTTTGTGTGGGGTTTAGAAAAAAGGAGAACAAGAGAGTAAATCTTTGGTTCAATGTTTCTCCAGTGCTTCCTGGGAGGGAGAATGTTCTGATTCTCAACAATCTGTATTGGTTCTTTAAAAATATCTGTGAAGTGGGGGAGAATTCATCAGCCTACCACAGCTTGATGGATGCAGCCCTAACTCACCTTCTGATGTGTCATTTGGTCTGAACAAATGTATTCTGAGGAAGGGCATGCCCGTTCTGTGCAGATGATCAGTATCAGTTATCTTGCTAGATGTCTCATAAATGAATAAATTGCCACTCGAGTTTGGTTATTAATGCAAATAGTTTCACCCGCGCCTTGATTACTCCTGGGTAAATAGTTAAAACTTAGTTGAATCTTTAAACCTGCAAATAAAGGACCTGACTGTAGGTTCGTGGTGACCTCATTAAGGTGGAAGACCTCAGTGAGCCTCCATTTGAGCAATGAGACAGCCGATTTCTCTTTTAACACTGTTTTTTCCTTTTAAATTCATTTTTAGTTCTCAACATTCACTTTTATAAGATTTTGAGTTCTAAATTTTTCCCCCTTCCACCTCCCCAAGATGGCATGCAATCTGATATAGGCTATGCATATACAATCATATTAAACATATTTCCACATTAGTCACGTTGTAAAGACGAATAGCATGCTTTGATCTGCATTCAGACTCCATAGTTCTTTCTCTGGATATGGGTAGCATTTTCCATCATGAATCTTTTGGAACTGATCATTGCATTGCTGAGAAGAGCTTAGTCTATCAAAATTGGTCATTGAACTTGACGCCATTTTTTACCTGCAACAATAAGGCATCTAGAGACAAGATGAATCAAGGAAACCTGCCCTCAGGAAGCTTCCCTTCTAGCAAGGGGAGATGAGTTTGGAAAATTAGCTGGGTTTGTGAGTGGAGTCGTGGGGGAGTGGATTGATATACTCCTTTTAGGAGAAATGACAGCAGTGGAGAAGGAGTTAGGGGTGGGGGGTGTTGAATGCCAAGGTAAGACAGCTGCCTACCTGAAATAATGAGCTAAATGAGGCATTTAGCAGTCAGAACAGTTGGGAGTTCTGGAGATGAAAGGATTGAGTCATCAGGTCATGGTTTTTCTGGTCCTGACGGCACTAAAATTTCCTCACAACTCCCTGTATTTACATTTCATGAAATGCCAGAGATCCACCACCACACAATTTTTTGTGGGTTATATATAACTTCAGTGGGTCCATGGCTCCATTGATGCTGGTGCTCCTTTCAGTGACAGTTCCAGGTACTACAGCCCATCCACACATAATCCTGTGTGATTTTTATCTTCCTAAAAATCCATGAAGGATCTATCCTGCATGATGGAGATCTGGACAATAGCAAACTGCTCCTACTAGTGTCAGCCGTGACATCAGAGTGAGATCAGTAACCCCATCTCACTGACCTAGGGCCCTTACTATGTTGACAAGGTCAGGAAGGGCCACACCAATTAGTATAATAACTCCTGATAATTACCGTGTTTATATAGGATTATTATAAAGGGGAGTTTGTGTAGTAAAATACTCCACTCTCCTCCATTGCTAAGGAGAAAATATTGTTGCCCTTCCTCCATAGCGTTTAAATACCAACTACATGAGTTCATCTGGCTGCCTCCAAGGGCTTCCGTTTAGCCCTATGCAGTAATCAACACAGGAGCCACTTACTATATGCCAGGAGCTCATAATGTCCATGTCTATGATACACTTCCCCTTATTAACTGCCACAAACGAGACCCAAATGTGGGTCTTGGATACTCCTTCACTGAGTGGTCTTTTCACTTTGATGGAACCTGGAGTACCCATTTAGAACACTGAAGGGTCCCTTGATATGAGTTACTTGGCTACAAGTATTTACATGTAGCACCTCCATCCCCTTTCCAAGCCCTAATTTCTCAGCCATTTTGCTTCTGGTCCTAGAATCTTGCAGCTAGAACATCCCAAGCCTCAGGGGAACTTTGGTCCTTGCCCAGCAACTTCAGGCTGACAACTCATTGTTTATGTCCAGCATGAGAGGCCTTCCTGATAACATCCAGGAAAAAGTACAGCAGATTTGCTGCCATGTTGAAGAGCTTAAGGCTTTCTCTATTGAGGATTCCTCATTCTAATAGCTCCTTATATATAGCAGCTAGGTGGCTCAGTGCTGGCTCTAGAGTCAGGAAAACTCATCTTTCTGAATTCTAATCCAGCCTCAGACGCTTAATAGTGTGTGACTCTGGGCAAGTCACTTAACCCTGTTTGCCTCAGTTTCCTCATCTGTAAAATGTGGAAATGGCAAACCGCTCTACTATCTTTGCCAAGAAAACCCCAAATGAGGTCATGAACGATCAGACATGACTGAACAAAAACCAACCAGAAGGCTGGTTGCAGTAGTCTAGGCATGAAGTCATAAGGACCTACAAAAGGGTGACATCCATGTGAGTAGGAGGAAGGGAGTGTGTAGAAAAGATGTTGTGAAGGTAGAAACAAGATGTGGCAGCAGATTGGATATAGAGGGTGGGTAAGAGTAATGAAGGAGACACAGGTTATGAGCCTGAGTAACTGTGTATGGGGTAATGGTGTTCTTGACAATAATAAGAAAGTTTAGAAAGTGAGAGAATTTGGGTTTGGGATAACGTTCTGTTTCAGACATGTGGAATATGAGATGTCTATAGGATATTCAGTTTGAGATGTCTAGCATGCAGTTGGTGATGTGAGATCAGAAGTCGGGAGAAAGGTTAGGCCTGGATAAGTAGATCTGAGAATTATCAGCACGGGGATGGTCATTCAAACTGTGTATGGGTGCAATGAGGTCACCCAAACAAGGTAGTATAGAAGGAGAGGAGAAAAGGACCAGTGACAGACCTTCGTGGGGCACCCACCATTAGTGGGTATGACCTGGAAGAAAAACTAGCAAAGGACATGGAGAAGGTTCAATAAGACAGGTAGAAGGAGAACAGGAAAGAGAGCAGTGTCCTGAAAAATCTAGAGAGACAATCCAGAAGAAGAGAATGATTGACAGTGTGAAAGGGTACAGAAAGGTAAAGAAGGATGAGGACTGTGGAAGGGCCATTAGATTTGGTGATTAAGAGATTTTTGGTAACTTTGGAGAGAGCGGCTTCAGTAGAAAGAGGACAGAAGCAAGGTTGTAGAGGGTGAAGAAGAGAGTAAGGAATAGTATTTCCTCTATGCCCAAAGGGATATAAATTGTGCATACCCTTTGATCCAGCCATGTCACTACTGGGTCTATATCCCAAAGAGAGCAAAGAAAAAGGGAAAGGACCTATATGCACAGAAATTCTATAGCAGATCTTTTTGCAGTGGCAAAGAATTGGGAATTGAGGGGATGCCCATCAGCTGGGGAATGGCTGGAAGAGTTATGATTGTGATGGAATATTTTTCATTCATTTCAGTCATGTCCAACTCTTCGTGACTCCATCTGAAGTTTTCTTGGCAGAGATGCTGGAGTGGTTTGCCATTTCTTTCTCCAGGAACTGAGGCAAACAGGGTTAAGTGACTTGTTCAGGGTCATACAGCTATAGTAAAGTGTCTGAGGCTGGATTTGAACTCTGAGAGATAGTCTTCCTGAT